AGAGTTTTCACCTTGTCTTGTCAAAATTAAAAACGTGAAGAAGAAATAAACCCATTTGTACTATTTTTCGTTTTTACCAACCAACAGCTTGAAGCCAACTGTGTACATCTTGGCCTCAGAGTTTATAGTCCATAGATTGAAATGGTGTGCTTCCTGTTCTGTGGTGTTGTCTCGATGGTAAAAATAACTACTGAAGTTACAGCTAGCAGAGACAATGTTGACGCCTGTAACCAATGCTGTTTCAATAATGTAATGCAGATAAACATGTACGATTTTTTTACGTTTACCTTATAGTATAAAAACTCAATGTATTATGAATAAAGGGCAGACAGTTGACATACAGCACATCATCCAGGTGGCTATAGTTTGATACTTTAATACCCTAACTTTGTATCACTGCAACTTGTTTTTATATCTTATATTATTCTCATATATTTCTCTATAGAGATGCCTACCTCGTGTTTACCCAACGTCACAGCTCAATGTAATCTTAACGAGCATATGGATGCTCCAGAAACCTGAGCAGAACACATGTATAAGAAATAACAACAGCCATTCATCTGCCATTGTTATTGGTTTTTTGGTTTAAAGTAAAATATATGAAAGTGCATCATTTTCATTTGTTTCTGCACTTTAAACTGCTGTCCTTTGCCTTTGTATGCTTATTGATTTACCCAATGCATGGAAAGGAATAGAAGTCAGTGGACCCCGGGAAGAACGTTACTCGTGGGAGGAAAATCCATGACTAAACCTAAAGCTTTCAAACACATAATATAACATACAGGATTTAAAGCAGAGATGACACTCGAATTGCTCGTTTAAAAGCAATGTGAACAGTTTTATGAGAACAAGTGGAGACAACCAATGTGTGCTAATTTTCTGTGTTTGCTTTAACCCTACTACTATTTTAGCCAATCCTCCATCACTCCTTAACATCTCTCACTTTTAGAATATGCTGTACACACATTTTACTTCTACAAATATCCGGCTGTGAATGATCCTGCAAATGGACATGTACTGTGTGTGTGAGAAAGGTTGATCAAAATGTTGTTTGTACAGAATACTGCAGCCAGTCACTGCTTTAACATAAGGATGTGTTTTATCCTACGTGTACATACATTTCAACACTGGTTTTTCTGCCTGCAACAATTCATCATGTGGTAAGTATTTAATCCAGGTGGTAACACACATGTGGGTAAAAATAGGAGCAAATTAGAAGATGTACAGCATGTAACTTTTATGCACCTTTTGGAAAAGTTATCGCCCATTTAATCATATCTTTAGGATTATATATTATTTCAGGAAAAGCTGTCAAACCACTTTTATCGCCAGGTCTGAAATATGAACACTTAATAACACTTTGTCCTTGGCCTTTCTTACTTAAGTCGTTGTTTCTTTGTATGCCACTTTGACTTCTACTAACTGTCAGTAGTAATTTACTCCAATATAAATATCTGACAGCTTTAGTTACATGAAACTATACGGTTGGTGTTTCAATCCATGACATGCATTTGATGTCACACACTGAACATACATTGTTTTTAAATCTCAAAGGAACTGTCTACATCATAAGATATTCTTGGAGACTAAATACTGTACTGTTTAAAAGGTGCCAAGAAAGCACTTGAGTAAATACTTATTTGCTTTAACCTCCCTGCAAAAGTGTTGGCCTAGTATTTAAGATAAGATACATATCATCTATTGCAGGAAATGCTTGTGCAGCAGTTGCAGCAGGACCACAAGATTAATACAAAACTAAACAAACCCAGTTCATATTCAAATATGACTAAACAATGTCCGGGTAAACATGCAATAAAGAGTACATAGTGTATAGGCTACATAAAGGTACAGTAAAGAGGCAGACAGATGTATTGAACAAGGGAAACGATACTGCGCGTTGCTGTGTTGCGCACATCAGAGCATGACATTAAATTAGGTCATTGAACGCCTCACACGTACAAACACACGCACCTAATTATTTCATGAATGCTATGTAGATCTATACTTTACGGCTGCGTGTAATAAAGTAACAGTCTGCATTTCTTCCTTAATTGAGTTCCAGTGTCACAAACGTTGTACATGTTAGTTGCATTTGCGAATGTGGGAACATTGAAGAGTCGGATATTTGTGCAGAAGATCTGGCAACCCGACTGTTATCAGGATAATCTGGAAATAAATCCGTCCAATCCTCCTCCTGCCATCAGTCTGGTGAGTTTGGAGATATTTGTGGGGTTTATCCAGTCTATAATGTGGGGTTGAAGAGATGGAAATAACCCCTGAAGTGAATCGATCTGCACGTTTCACTGATGCCGGTCAGTACCTTGAACGCACCTGATCCGCCATATTAAAAACGTGATCACTACTTCTTCGGACTTTGTGCACAAAATCACCAAATTAACACATCATAGTGTTTGTTTTGGATCAAATGTAACCTGTTTTGCTCGGTCTACAGTGGTTATTTTAATAATAAAGGTATTTTAACATCCTTTGGCATCCCCCTTTTTCAACAGGGACTTCTATAATGATGCTTTTACAGGGATTATCAGTTATGTTATATGCCGTTTTGGGTTTTCTCCTGCATGTCTGGATACAATTACATAAGGAAAGACGATGTTTTACGGACAGTAGGCTACTGAGAACATGAACTCTCTCAACCCGGATCCTTCCTGCTGATTGGACCAAGTGTACTTCAATGCAGCCTGTTTAAAAAAAAGAAGGGATCTGAACCTTTCATTATCAAAGTATGCCATTTCCCAGCGGATATGGTGTCAATTTACACGGGTTACATGATCTGTATCGATAAGGGTAAATCAGCTTAATGGAACCAACCCTCCTGATTGCCCCTCATGCGCATGCGCGACGAAAATAAAATTAAGGAATAGGAATGGATGACGTCGGAGAGGATATATTATGAGGGAGGTCTCACTCTGTGTTTAATTCCCATTTCCATAAACGTGAGCATATATGCAAGACTTAAAGGATCATAACAGTGTTTTTGGGAATAAATGTATTTAACTGCACTGGTGAAAAGTATTCAGATCTTTAATGGAAGTAAAGGTAGTAAAAAATGATTTGTAGAAAAACACTGGTGCTTGTAAAAAAAAAACGTATTGGGAATATTTTAAAATACAAATATAAGTAGTAGCCTCATAAAGGTAAAACTCGAAGGTCAATTTTAGATAATATAATATATGTAATTGCATTCTAATTATTAAGAAATGAGTCTGGCCATTAAAAAATGTTGTCAAAATACTGTCTTCCTCTTAAATGTTGTGGAGTAAAATTATAATAATAATAATAACTTTAATTGATATAGGCCTAGCGCCTTTCATCAACCCAAGGTCGCTTAACAAAGAAACATATAAGGACAAGACATAAAACAGGGGGCAGAAATGGAAGTGTTACATTGCAGAGGGGGGGGGGGGGGGGGGGAAGAGTGAGTTAATGTTGGAAGGCTTTGTTGAACAGATGAGTTTTCAGGGTTGATTTGAAGATGTTCAGAGAAGGGGCGTTACGGATTTCAGCAGGGAGGGAGTTCCAGAGGGTGGGGGGGCAGCGACACTGAAGGCACGGTCCCCGAAGGTGCGGAGGCGTGAAGGGGGAATGGAGAGCAGGCCGGAGTCTGAGGATCGAAGGGTGCGGGACGGGATGTAAGGGTGGAGGAGATCTGTGAGGTACTGAGGGGAGAGGGCATGGAGGGACTTGTAGGTGACGAGGAGAAGTATAGAATCAAATGGAAATATTTGAGTAAAGTACAACTAGGCTACTTAAAAAGCTATTTAAGTACAATACTTGAGTAAAAGTCTCAGACTGGTTTCCATTTATTTCTGGATGGTAGAATCTATTGGCAGACTTTAAAATACTTTTTGCCATGAACAAGAAAAGGTTCATAATTGGCAATTAGCGATGCAGTATGCGTGCATTTGGTTTTGGAATATCTGGAATGAATACATTTTTTAAATTTGAAAAATAAATGTATGAACATTTCAGTCATGTAGCTACCAACACATTGAATTTAAATAAAAAAGAATAATGATATTAAAGACAGTAACAAATAATATAACTTTTTGAATACATAAAATCGTAAGAACAATATATAATATACATCATTCTTCTTGAAAGACCTTATGTTAATCATATTCTTATTATATTTTATTTTTTGTACATTTGCTTTTAACATTTTCTTTGTTTTTTAAATGTGCTCTTACAAGTACAATTCCTCTTACTGTATTCATGTATGCCCCATTATATTATTATATAGATAGATAGATAGATAGATGGATGGATGGATGGATGGATGGATGGATGGATGGATGGATGGATGGATGGATGGATGGATAGAGAGATAGACAGACAGACAGACAGACAGACAGACAGACAGACAGACAGACAGACAGACAGACAGACAGACAGACAGACAGACAGACAGACAGACAGACAGACAGACAGACAGATAGATAGATATACGGACGGACAGACAGACAGACAGACAGACGACAGACAGATAGACCGATAGATCAAGGTTCAAGGTTCTTTATTGTCAAACTGACATAGCTACAGAGTAATTATGTTGTTGAAAATCTTATGTCACAGGCTTCTCCAACAATGCAACATAATAACAATACAGATAGCAAGAGCAATACAAAAAGAAAAATAGTTCTAAAATAAAGTGAGCATGTGGAATAGTGCAGTACGAGTCTATATACAAGTTATTGGAATGATATATATTAGATATTAGATACATATTACTGAGTAGCAGATGAATGTTTTGAAATTGTTTCAGCACTTCAATTGTTTAACAGTCTCACTGCCCGCGGGAAGCAACTGTCTCCGAATCTTTTTGTCTTTGCCAGGATGCTGCGATAGATAGATAGATAGATACTTTATTGGGAAATTATTAACAGAAGAAGCATCAGTGTGTTCAGACATAGTGACTCATCTTCTTAACACACGATCTTCGGACGGAAAGTGGAAAGTTCTCCGTTCTGCGCATGCGCTCCCCGGGATTAATGTCAAGGCACAAAAGTGGCGCTACACCGTTTCCAGCTCTACTCCGGTAAGAGAATTTCACAGACGTTTTTCTTACCCCAGTTTTACGCCTAATTAGTCAAAGTTTGGGGAACTTGTGCGGGCCTTTAGTCGGGGGTCCAGGGCCTCATCTGGGAGTCAAACCGGGGTGAGGAGACACACTAAAGTGAAGAATAAACAGTTTATTCTAACAGATTTTCTCCCAGGCTGCTGTGTGTGTGTGTGTGTGTGTGTGTTCTGCAGCCGCCTCTAGTCTCCAGTATTGTTCATTTGGCTCCCTAATGGCGGACGGCAGGCAGTGCTGTTTTCCATTGGGGGGGCGGGGGGTAAAGGGAGGGGAGTTAGCTGGGGGGGGATGCAATATGGTTATGAAATTACCGGGTTTACACCGGGTCACGGTTGAATCTAAACCCTTGTAAACACGATGCAGGGTTTTTCTGTGCGCCTCGTTGTTTACCACACCGCATGACACAAATGAGTGCAGTTCATGTGATGCGTAATGCAAAGCGCGCCCCTGGTGGTGGTGGCTATATTTGCCACTGATTGCGCCAGGGTGGGCTCGGTTGGTGCAAGGGGCAACTTCCAATTAAAAGCCCGGCGTCACAGGTATCATACAAATCGGGTTTTTTATTCGGTTTTCCGGCCTGTTTTGGTGGAATGCACGACTAGGAATGATACACTGGATACAAAGGAGGGGGTACCACACGTTTAGATTAGCATTATGTGTATGCTTTGCAGAGTATAGCACTATTTTGTATCAGAGGGGAATAAGTTGTGATCATTTCTAGTGGTATTGCAACAATGGCGCAGTCTGTGCCTGCTCTCCTCCCCTCGTTGCGCCGCTAATCCAATGGCTGTTTGCGCCAGGAAGGGCAGGGGAGGAATCACGTTTCTCCTGGATCCCAACTCAGAATCCAACCTACCCCCCTCATTCACCTGGGTTATTTATGGAAGAGTTGCGCAGCTCAGGTAGTTCTGTTTCTTATTATTAAAGTTTTGGACCTGCTTTCTGTACTTAGTTAAATATAATTGCTGTACAAAAAGGGGAATGATAGTGAACGCCTGGACCGGATTATGTGCTGTTGTGTTCCTCGTCATGGAGCTGTGTTAATAACCAAGGGCACAGCCAGGGGGGACTGAACCGGGCCCCTGAAGCTTGGTACAGACTGTCCTTCAATGCTGATTGTCTAACATTTCAGCTGCAGGATAGTGAGGGTTTAGTTTGCATTAATCTGCCAGGTAACCGGACTGTTTGTAGCCCATCAGCTGGGGGATGTTCTGGTGGCTGCGCATTACTTATCATATCTCAGTGACATAAGCCTTATATAATAATCTCACTCGTTTTTTGGTTGAAAATGCTATTAGTCGGATGTTATCTGCGCAACTGGCGCAAACAGCTGCATGCCTGCACCTCGTGACCTGCTTTGGGGGAAATGATGTGCGCAAACTGACAGCATTGGAGAGAATGTGAGGTGATGATGTGGCGCAGATTTTGGCACGTTTATTGCACGATGGAGGCAGTCCTCCCCCCAGCCCCAGCCCCAGCCCCAGCCTCTCTCTGGCCACCTGGTGTTGACGTTAGAGCAGCAAGGTTGCATGTCAGAGCTCATTAAATTAATACTGGACCCTCGTTTCTCTCGTCCACGTGAATGCAGGCTCATAGCTCTGCATTGCAGTCTGATCTGAGTCTAGACCAGGCTATTTTTCCCCCTCAGTGCACTACTGAGTTTCACTGTGATGTTATATTATCAGATGCTTTTATGTCGCAGCTTTACTTGGAGAAGGGGGTGCCTTTGGGTCCTCTCTCTATATTTTGACACCAGTTAACCCCACACACAGAGAGCCAGTTATAGTCCTAAAACACATAGACATAAAACACAAGCTTGAGTTGGATTAGACAGAAATTATTCGGAATACCTTTTTGGTTATTTTAAACAGTCAAGAACAACATATTGATCTTGAATGTCACTGTTTTCACTTGTGCTTCCTGTCACGTGACCACCATGAGCAATGTTATAGCTTCAGTGTTTCACAGTCAAGTACATCCTCCTGACAATCATCAAGCATATAGGATTCAACTCTGGTGCTTTGTAGTCATTTTTGCAGTGTTTTTAATCAAAAGTACATACTTATATTAACTTTCACACAAGGAACTTGCATTTTCTCTTTACATTTCTGAAAAACCATGCTTTTATGAAAGAATATGTTTGAACTTTGATAGAAAAAAGGCAAATATATGGAAATATTGACATTGTTTAAACATGTTGACATCTTGAAACTTGTATTTTAGCATCTAATTGCACAAACGTATCTAAACTATCATGGCCGGAGCAAAAACAGGAAGCGATAAAATAGATTGATTGATTGGCTGAACTCCAGATATAGTTTGTCAATTATTATTTGTAGACCAAAATGAGGTAGGTGTTAACTGTTTTAGAGGAACCTTGTAAAGCTGCTTTCCACACTGGTCAGTAATAGTTGTGTCAGGATAGGATAACATTGACTGTAAGCAAGGGGTGAGGATGTGCAACAATAATACAGCGTAATGTTTCCAAAAGTTGTTGTAGAAAGTGTGTTGTGTGATGCAGTGGATGGAGCAACAAATTATTTCCCACTAGGACTATGCATGTTTAAAATACCCTGAAATGTGTATTTTGATTGCATGCTTCTTTGTCTGATTGCTGTTTTAATGGGAGTTTAATCTGCATCTGAAACTTCTGAACACAAGAAGAGGCTTGTTGTAATACTAGTGGTTATCTTTGGTGAGTCAGAGATGGTAGATTTCTGTTTTTTAGGGGCCTGGAAAGTCCTTCGAAAATATTCATAAGCTGCCGTTAAATGTGTGTTCATATCAGAACTGTTTGCTAGTTTTAGAAATGTTTTTAATTTAAGTTTAAGTTCTTGTCAATCTGCAGAAGATGACCATTACTTTTGATTATATTGGCTGCTTTTGTTAAATTTAAAAACATTTTTCTGATTATATCTCAAAATAAAGGTGTTAGATTTTGATATACTTACGAATTGGCAGTAGTATTGATAGACGGCTCTAATGCAGGACTATTGCATTAGATTTGAGGCATGTGTTATTTTGTCAACCCCCTGTTTCTTGCCAAGTAGCTGTTTTGACATACATTTGTGGTAAATAAAGCTGGTTTTAGTCAAGTGACTGTCTTTGTATTCCCACACTTAGTCCTTAAACAAACATTACTGTTGATTATTTATAAAAATCTCATTATGTAAATATTTGGTGAATGCACCAATAGGAAAACTCAAATATCGTGGGATTATCGATTATTTAATTTTTTTCCAGTTTCCTGTCCGGAGGTCATTTGGGTCAGGCTGGATTTCCCACCATACAGATATTTCGCTAAATCCCAACTAGACCATGAATAAACGTACATGTTGTTAATGCGAAAGCTGTAAAATATGAACAAGAAAACCCAATTTGCCTACCTGTTTCTTCCGTGATATGGCAGCTGTAGTGCTGTGATTATATTACATAGATGCACCCTACTGTGCTGAGCCAAAATGGCCGCCTCAATTATGTCATGCAGTGATGTGGCTTCCTCTGTAGTGCAGACTTGTTGTAGCGCTCAAGAATGTTTTCAGGTGCGTTCAGGCTCTCCCTGTTCAGTGTTGGAGAAGATCATAGAGTGCAGAGATAGTTGTCGGCTTAGAAAAGTGTGTGTGTGTGTGTGTGTGTGTGTGTGTGTGTGTGTGTGTCATAAAAAGGGAGATTTTGACAGAAACAGATCAACGTAGAGTGCAGAGATCCCCAAAAGTGCTTTAAATAGATCTGATCCCCAGAGTGGCACCAGATCTTTTGGATATTATAGAGGAAATACTATTCTGATTTTCAGGTTCATATCAGTATGTAGTGTCTCTCCTGTGACATGTCTCCATGCTTTAATGTTCAAAAAGCTCTTTATTTTTCTCATCCTGTCTGTGCTGCAGCACCCAGTCTGCTCTGATTGGTTAGCTGGCCGGCTCTGTTGTGATTGGTCAACCACTAAGAGATGTCCCGCCCCTTAGACTATCACGTACAATGTGTTGTAGTGCTAGCCAATAGAAGAGCAAGCGTTACATAGTGATGTCACTCTGTTAGTCAAATGGAGGCGTTTCAGGCTCTACTCTTCAAGGAGTAGAGCTGCTGTGCAACCGGCAACTATTTATATAACTGATTGATCATTGAAGTACATTTTCAAGCAAGAGTTTTAACCTCCCAAATATCAAAATGTCATGGTTTCCTCTGTTTTTACATCAGATTAAACTGAAAATCGTTGTATTTTGGAACGACAATTCAAGACATTTTCTGACATTTTCTATAATGAAAACAACCATTAGTCACAGCCATGATACATACAGGTATCAATTCAGCACTTCGGCTTATATTGAACCAATTGAAGTTGTGTGTTGGCCAACTCAACAGCACCCAGATGCAGAGACCCAGTCCCTGTGGTGGTGAGCCACACCGTCACCACGGTAACCAAGGTGTAGCTTCACCAGTTGCTGGGGGCAACAAGAGAGAGCGACATGCAGAGAGGGACGGGGAGAAACGGCAGGTGAGAGGAGGCGTGGATTGCTGGGTCGTTAGGAAGGGAAGGGGGTGCTGAGAACAGGAAGAGAGGGGTAAAAAGGGGGGTGAGAGACGTGAGGAAGAAGAGGAGGGGGGACGAGGAAGAAGAGGAGGGAGAGGAGGAGGAGATGGAGGAAGAGGAGGAGGGGCCTCCCGTTGCTGGGCAGGCACGTAGCAGCTTCCTGAGATCAGGGCGATGTGGCTCATACATAATATATGCCAACATTATTGATATTTATTTTTGATATTTTCACATTTCCTCTAAAATAGCCTCTCTTTGATTAAAATCACAACACCAGCATGATGATGATGATGATGATGATGACAGTAATCGTATCTTTAAAGGGACCCTTTTCTGCTCATATTCAAGTTGAAATGCTTTGTTCATCTACTGGGACATGTCTCCATGCTCTCATGCTGCCTGTGCTGCAGCACCTCTTTTCACCCTCTGTCTGAAACCAGAGCCCAGTCTGCTCTGATTGGTTAGCTGGCCGGCTCTGTTGTGATTGGTCAACCGCTTAGATATGTCCCGCCCCTTGACGTTGAATGGTTGGAGCGCTCTGACAGCGTCTGTATGATACACTGGCCGTTTCTCAATCGCGAGGATGCTGGCTTGGTAGCACAGCCGAGCCGAGCATCTTGCTTCAGAAGCGAGGCAAGAATACTTCCTGGCATTCGGAAAATGAAGAGTGGAACAGGCTAGCAAGTGTGCAGGTGTGCGTCATATGAGAGGCCCCGCCTTATATTTTCCGCCACAGATTTGGGGAAATTGGTCCATGCGCAAAGCATTGTGGGGATTTTAAGGACGCGAAGTCTACCCATGTGCAGCCTCGAAATTTCCCCCAAACCAAGGACGCGGCCTCGGTGGAATTCCAAGTATGCTGGAGATTGGAACAGTCCTTCGGCGGCACTCGATAACGTAGCATCCTTGAAATATTGGCTTGGAAGCCAATATCCTCGCGATTGAGAAACGGCCTCTGAGGTGTTCTGCCTTCATTTGTTCGGTGGAAACAGGAAGTTTCTCAATGACACTCAGAATGTTGTTGAACTGTCCATGAAGTCAGATTGGTCCGTAGATGTATTCTTCATTAGGTTTGAACTAATATTCGTACAAATACAAATAAATTAATACATTTTAAATGTGTATTTCATGTATTATTTACTCAAATGAATATTAAATTGGACTCATTCACAAGTCTGTTCTATTTGAAAGTACCCACGTCTTTACTGTAAGGAGTACTATATATGCTCGTACTGTTAGAACAACATAGGGGCTAGTTTGTCTTTTTAGAAGACAAACTTCCATTGCTGTTTCCAAAACGCGTATAAACTTGCTTTGGCGCTTCACTTATTTAGCTGGTTTCCTGTGTTCGGCTCCCCTTCATACAGGTCATGTGACACGCTCAACTACTTTTATTTGTGTCTTTGAGAGCGACAAAGCCAAGGAGTAACAAGAGTAGCTAAACGCCAAAGCTAGACATTAATTACAATTTGTACTCGATGTACTACATCTCGCGTAGGATCAGCTGCAGTCCATAGAGTTTGATCAGAATATTGCCTTTTACTTTGACTCACCTGTACTTGAACCTGCTCTGAAGACATTGCTTTTAGTAGCTGCCTTCTTTCATAATGTTTTTCCTGCAGCACAAAGCTCTGCACTATCCTTCAACTCTATTATTCTAACTCTAACATTGTCCACCATGTACAGCGACCTTGGGTCCCGTGAAAGGCGCTTTATAAATTCCATTTATTATTATTATTATTATTATTAATATATAATACACATTTTAAAGCAATATTGCAATCCTTTGAGAAAATTGTCTAGACAGAATGATTCTGCTACACACTCTTTAAGGAGCTGACTGTACCGTGGTTCAAGTAAGAGTGTTTTTATTTAAAGTGGTAAGACATAATCAACTACCTAATAATCAATTGGTATCACACTTTGCAGGGGTAGACAAAGTAGAATTTCTGGGCCAGTAGAATTGTTATTTTAGCAATTACTGCCTAAATAACATTTATTAAAGACAATATTCAACATGACAGAAATATTTAGTAAATGTGCCATGTGTTATCATTAGGTAAACAAAAGTCCCTACAGCCAATGTATTCTAATACAGCCTAGAAACAACCATATATGTTTAGCTAATTTAAATACTGATCAATTGCGCTACATTTATGAAATGTCATTTTTCCCCCAAAAATGTTCAAACCGGCCGATTCCTTTTCCCACTTTTTTTTTTTTTTTAGCCTTAGTAGATAAAGGATGATTGTTTTTTTATAAAGAGACCTTTCACTAGGAAGACATTTTACTTATATTTTATTGAAATGCATGAATTCATATAATAATACTTTTTATCAAATGCTGTTTACTAGTATTTTTGGTGATGACAAGGGAGGGTAGCAACATTTAATTGCCTAATGGCACATATCCTGAGTGGTGACTAACAATGGCTGTGGTTCTTCACCTGTCATGAGGGGCTTATGTGGGGGGGGGGGGGTTATGGCGGGGGGGGGAACACCTGCTGCGTTACCTGTGCAGCTGTCAGGAGATAATGAGGTGGAGCCGGCACCAGACACTGGTTTTATGATTAAACTGTTTTTTTTTGGTGTTTTGCCAGGTGGTTGCCTTAGCAATGGACGGGGAGCCAGAACCAAGCCCTGCCGCTAGAGAAGAGGCAGGGGAGAGGGTGGAGAACATGGACGCCACTCCCTCCCCCGAGCAACAGGCCACGCCCCCCGAGGAGGAAGCTTCCATGGTAACGGAAGAACAAGAACAAGAAGTGGTAGAAGAAGTAGATGAAGCCACAAAGGAGAAGGGGGTCACAGAGGAAGATGATGACGCATTAAAGGAGGGGGGGGTCACAGAGGAAGATGATAACGCATTAAAGGAGGGGGGGGTCACAGAGGAAGATGATGAAGCCACAAAGGAGAAGGGGGTCACAGAGGAACTTGATGAAGCATTAAAGGAGGGGGGGGTCACAGAGAAAGATGATGAACCATTAAAGGAGGGGGGGGTCACAGAGGAAGATGATGAAGCCACAAAGGAGAAGGGGGTCACAGAGGAACTTGATGAAGCCACAAAGGAGGGGGGGGTCACAGAGGAACTTGATGAAGCCACAAAGGAGGGGGGGGGTCACAGAGGAACTTGATGAAGCCACAAAGGAGGGGGGGGTCACAGAGAAACTTGATGATGCCTCAAAAGAGGAAGGGGTCACAGAGAAACTTGATGATGCCTCAAAAGAGGAAGGGGTCACAGAGAAACGTGATGATGCCTCAAAAGAGGAGGGGGTCACAGAGGAACTTGATGATGCCTCAAAAGAGGAGGGGGTCACAGAGGAACTTGATGATGCCTCAAAAGAGGAGGGGGTCACAGAGGAACTTGATGATGCCTCAAAAGAGGAGGGGGTCACAGAGGAAGTTGATGAAGCCTCAAAAGAGGAGGGGGTCACAGAGGAAGTTGATGAAGCCTCAAAAGAGGAGGGGGTCACAGAGGAAGTTGATGAAGCCTCAAAAGAGGAGGGGGTCACAGAGGAACTTGATGATGCCTCAAAGGAGGAGGGGGTCACAGAGGAACTTGATGATGCCTCAAAGGAGGAGGGGGTCACAGAGGACGATGATGATGTGGTCCTCTTAGGGGTGGAGGACCCCCAGCCTTCTGCCACGACTCCTTCCTCACACGACACGCCCAGCACCGCCTGCCTGGAGCCGGGGGAGGCGCCTGGAGACATGGTCACAACGATAGAGGAGGGGGAGGAGGAGGAAATGGAGGTGGAGGAGGTGGAGGATGAGGAGGAAGAGGAGGAGGCGACCCTCGCTTCTCCTGCATCTTCCAGCGCTTCCACGGCGGCGGCCCCCCCCTCCTAAAACTCCCAGCACGGAAGCAGAGCCCATAGTGATCGAGGACGAGGAGGAGGACGCTGAGCAGAAAGACGCCTCCTCTCCCTCCCCAGGTGCACTCAGCAGCACGGAGCCAGACTCAAAGATCAGGATCTCCAGCGTCACCACTCTGGGGTCCGGAGGAGAGAAGGGGGGCTCGGCTGGTCCTAAAGAGAAGACCCCGACTCTGGAAGCAGAGGAGGACCAGGAGGACATGAACCTGATGATCACCTCGGTGACCTCGCTGCAGGACGGGGGGGCGGCGGTGACAGTGGTGAGAACTTTTCATCAATACTGTCTAGTTTACATT